CCATAAATGATCTTAGTCCACAGGATTGATCAAGCAAACTTGACATTCCCATCTCTTTGACTCGGATCATCTAAGGAAATCAGTCTGTGGATACACACGCACCAGTGCATACAAAAAACAAAACAGCTTTTCTTGGGGTCCACAAAACTTCCTTATCTTCCAGTCTCAGGAATTTTCCAGGATAACCTTTTGGCCCCCTTTAAGAGATAACCTGCCTGATGAAAAATGTGACAGCTCCATGGAATAAAAATTTGTAGAGTTCATAATTCAAAACTACTATTAAATCAATGCACTTCTTTTTGGTTTGTCAATATGGACTTTTTCATTAGACAATTTTATTACAGTGATGAATATCAACAGCACAATTAAGAGACCACTGTTCTAACTTATGGTCGGCTTCGCCTAATGATCCATATTTGCTCTTGAATAAATGTGGTGCCTGTAGCCCTCTGAAGATTGATAGACCTTTATCAGCAGCTGAGCCTCTCCCATCCCTGGTGAGGATCAAGCAGGAGTGACTTTCTTTTTTTCCCTTTTTTAAAATTTTATAAATTATGAAAATATGATAACATATTTACAGGAGATTTGGAAAATACAGAACAAGGCTACATATAGTTCCACTATATATTACAAATATTTTTTAAGTAGATAAATTAAGGTTTTTAGTTAGAGTTTCAATATAAAACTAGGAGTGACTCTCTTCACATTTCCTGGAGGGATCCTGGCTGGGGCTTGAGCCCTTTTGGTGACAGATGTTATATACGATGTCTGACAAGTAAGCTGAGTACCCAACCAAATCCCACTTTTCCTAGTAAATAAAGACAGCAAATAAAATTCCTTTTTAATCTCGTGGGGACCTGTAGAACCTGTCAATTTGGAATCAAGTGTGGCAAACCTCGGTTAAACCCAGGGGATCTCTCTGCTCTAAGTAATGATTCATTGTCACCTGAGTCATTTAGCCTGCTTGTAGGAGAAGGAACATGGGATTTGGAGCCAGATGTCTGGGGACCAAGGCTCACTGGCCTGGCTGGGCCCAGGCCCTCCTGAACTAACCAGGATGATCAGGGAGCAGGAGTGCTCCCATCTTAGGACTCAGGCTGGTAAAAGAAAAGTTCACATACTGAGGTCTGAGAAAGTTATTCTGGCTTATCGATGAGCTCACTTGAATTTCATGTCAACTAAAACAGCCTGTTTGTGGCCTTTCAAGCAACAAAGTGCGGAAAATTCTTAAAGAGATGGGAATAACAGACCACCTGACCTGCCTCCTGAGAAATCTGTATGCAGGTCAAGAAGCAACAGTTAGAATCGGACATGGAGCAACAGACTAGTTCCCAATAGGGAAAGGAGTACGTCAAGGCTGTATGTTGTCACCGTGCTTGTTTAACTTATATGCAGAGTACATCATTCGAAATGCCAGGCTGGATGGAGCACAAGCTGGAATCAAGATTGCCAGGAGAAATATCAATAACCTCAGATATGCAGATGACACCAACGTTATGGCAGAAAGCAAAGAAGAATTAAAGAGCCTCTTGATGAAAGCGAAAGAGGAGGGTGAAAAAGTTGGCTTAAAACTCAACATTCAGAAAACTAAGATCATGGCACAGGGTCCCATCACTTCATGGAAAATAGATGGAGAAACAGTGGAAATAGTGACAGACTTTATTTGGGGTGGGGGGCTCCAAAATCACTGCAGATGGTGACTGCAGCCATGAAATTAAAAGATGCTTGCTCCTTGGAAGAAAAGCTATGACCAACCTAGACAGCATATTTAAAAGCAGAGCCATTACTTTGCCAACAAAGTTCCATCTAGTCAAAGCTATGGTTTTTCCAGTAGTCATGTATGGATGTGAGAGTTGGACTATAAAGAAAGCTGAGCACCGAAGAATTGATGCTTTTGAAATGTGGTGTTGGAGAAGACTCTTGAGAGTCCCTTGGACTGCAAGGAGATCAAACCAGTCAATCCTCAAAGAAATCAGTCCTGAATATTCATTGGAAGGACTGATGCTGAAGCTGAAACTCCAATACTCTGGCCATGTGATGCAAAGAACTGACTCATTGGAAAAGACCCTGATGCTGGGAAAGATTGAAGGCAGGAGAAGAAGGAGATGACAGAGGATGAGATGGTTGGATGGCATCACCGATGCAATGGACATGAGCTTGAGCAAGGTCTGGGAGTTGGTGATGAACAGGGAAGCCTGGTGTGCTGCAGGCCATGGGATCGCAAAGAGTAGGACATGACTGACTGACTGAACTGAACTGAAGCATGCACTGTACATCTGCCTCAATTATTAGAGAAAAGGGCACCTGACCAAAAGTAAAGAAAGTCCATGTAAAATATAGTGGTGACTCACTGTGTACGTGCTGATCTGGCTTTTTTGACATCTTGATGGAATGTGTGCCTGACTTATTTAATGTTCTTTGTTCTGATAAGACATAGAACCGTGCTGGAAATCGTGCTTCTCCGGAGGAGCTCCTCAGTCACCTGAGAGCTGTCTCCAGGCTATAAGCCTTGGGCTTCCCTGAGGGCTCAGCTGGTCAAGAATCTGCCTGCAATCCAGGAAAGGAGATGCAGGTTCAGTCCCTGGGTTGGGAAGGTCCTCTGGAGCAGGAAATGGCAACCCACTGCAGTATTCTTACCTGAAAAGTCCCATGGACAGAGGACCCTGGTGAGCCACAGTCCAAAGGTGCACAAAGAGTCGGACACAACGGAACACAAGCATATAGACCTCAGTTAGCTCAAATAAAACTCTTGCATATCTATTATAGAATTATTATTTATTGATTTATTATTTTCATCAATAAGGCCCAAAATTCCAAGCAAGATGAAGGTTGCAGTAGTTCCCACATTGAAGTCAGGCTATGTTGGCAGAGAAGTAGACCAGAGCTAGGCAACCAAGACTGCAGATGCATGTAGACAGGTTTTTCTGGTCCCCATTTTGCCCTGTGGACACCAAGCTCCAGCATCAGACCTGAGGACAGAAGTCTTACAGACTCTACTTAACCAGCTTAACCAGTTCTCACAATTGCATGTCAAACTCCTGTAATAAGCCCACAGTCACTCTGCTTCTTTGGTTGAACACTTACTGATACCCACCCCAAATCCTCCCAATAGAGTGCTCTTTAGTTTAAGTTATCTAGAGCAGCAGTCCCCAGCTGTTTTGGCACCAGGGACTGCAGCCAGGAGGGCTGGGGGGTGGGGGGCTGGGTGGATTTGGGGTGATTCAAACACATTACATTTATTGTGCACTTTCTTATTACACCAGATTCACCTCAGATCATCAGGCATCTCAGACCCCAGAGGCTGGGGACTCCTGATGGAGAATCTATTTCTGTTGCTTGCAGATCCTAAATCCCAAACCATACACGTTGCCTAATGTATTTTTAAATGTTTTCAAAATATTTTTAAAAACGTCTTCAAATTATAAAGCACCAAATACATGCATGTCACTGTTCCTTTTGCTAGCATAGACTGTGCTAGGAAGACAGAAACTCTAGGGTCAAATGGACAGAGGCAAATCTGAACTCTACCAGGTAATACTCATACAACTTTGGATTAAGATACTTACTCATTCTGAGCCTGAGTCCCCCTTTGTAAAAAGTGGGTGAAAGTTAGCAGTTAGCACTAGTATCCCTGCATACAAGAGAATCCCAAGCTGTCCCTGGCTTAAACAAGAAACACGTTCATTAGTCTTCAGGTAGAAGCAGTCGAGGTAGACAGACTGTGTGGGCCTGGAGGCTCCGAGGTCATCAGGACCCAGGCGCCTCACCTCTAGACTATACCCTCTTCCTCGGGGTCCCCCACCCCTACCCTATGTTGGCCACACCTACCTGAAGGGGAGGCCGGCAAATATAATCTGCATTATGGGTTGTGATAAAGACTGGGCTTCTGTTACTGATGAAGGAGGTAGCCCTGGGCGTGGACTGTTGTGTGTGGTGGAAAGTGCTGCCCAGCCCACCTGTGAACTATGCTTTTCCTTCTCCCCTCCGGCCCTTACATTGCTCCTTGCTCCCTCCTCCCCCAACCAGAACTCCTCCCAAATGCATCAGCAGCTTTCACTGATACATCAGAAAGATGAAGTTCAGAGTCTGGGTTCCAGAGATTGACAAGCTACATTTCTTTCTTTTTTAAATCATTTTTTTAAATTGAAGGGTATTTGGTTTACAATATTGTGTTAGTTTCAACTGTACAGAAAAGCGATTCAATCATATATATGAATATGTCTATATTCTTTTTTTTTCTGATTCATTTCCATTGTAGTGTAGAGGGAACCTCTTTAAAAGTAGGCAAATCACATCATAATTTGTTAAATTAACTTTTATTGGAGTAAAATTGCTTTACAATGTCATGTTACTTTCTGTTGTGCAACAGAGTGAATCAGCTGTGAAAGTGAAACTTGTTCAGTTGTGTCCGACTCTGCGATCCCATGGAGTGGGGACTGACAGGCTCCTCTGTCCCTGGAATTTTCCAGGCAGGAATACTGGAGTGGGTAGCCGTTCCCTTCTCCAGGGGATCTTCCCAACCCAGGAATCAAACCCAGGTCTCCCACATTGCCGGCGGTTCTTTGCCATCTGAGCCACCAGGGAATCAGCTATACACATACAGAGTTCCCCTCTTTTTGGATTTCCTTCTCATTTAGGTCACCACAGACCATTGAGTAGAGCTCCAGTATATTCTCATTAATTATCTATTTTATACATAGCATCAATAGTGTATATGTGTTGATCCCAATCTCCCAATTCATCCCATCCCCACCCTGAACCATGTTTCTATACTTCTGGATCCCCTGCTTCCTGGCCACAGGGCTTTAGGTAAACCTCCTAACCTCTTGAAGACTGTTGCTCAATTGCAAATGTCCACAGCAATAGTGCTGACCTCAAAGTTTTGTGATGAAGAGTGAACAAGTTACTGCGGAAGGGGAGACAGTATAGTGCCTGCCACATAGTTACTAAGCAGTAAATATTAGCTGTGATTATTGTCAATGTGATTATTTTTATGTTACCTTGGTCAAGTCTCTCCAGAGACAAACTCATGGTGTTTTCTTTCCCTCTGGGTTCATTCTTCACAGCTTTCTTCAGCTTTGGGAGCCTGAACAGTGAGAAATAGGATGAGGCTTAGGACGTTTCCCCTAAGAAGTTTTACTGAGCAGATTTGGGAAGTCCAGTGCACGCCCGATGGCTCTGCACAGATGAGTAAGGAGCCTAGCTGCCAGGACCCCCTCCTGATCCCTCCCAGGAGCTCAGGGCCCCCTGGGTGGGTGCTAACAGTCTCCCCTTGTCTATCCTTCCAAGCCTGCTGTTCAGTGGCCTTGAGAACCAGGCCAGCTTCTTACCACAGCACAGGAGTGTGACTGCTATCTCTCACCAGATAGGCAGTGTGTTCAGCCCAGGTCAAACACTCACGTATCTGCAGGTGCTAGGCGCCAAGCCTCTGCCTTTCTTCCTCCAGTCACTTCTTCGCTCACTCTCGTCGCCTCTGAGCATGGTGTGGTTTGCACACCTGATCTCAGCGTCTGGCTTGAGGCCCGAGAGGTGTCCTGGTTCCGGGGGACTGGAGTGTAGAGCGGCCTCCTTGGACAGTGCGTGGAGAAGAGCCCTAGGCCAGGGTCAGGGGACGCAGCACCCCGCCTGTCTCCAAATGAACCCATCGGTCTCAGCCATTGCTGACGCCTCTTCCAGAGCTGACAATTCTGATTTGCTATGGAAGGGCCCTGAGTGAGCTTTCTTAGGGCCAGTGGATGAAGAATGTCGCCTGCCATCTCAGGAAACAGAGGGCGTTGTGGCCATCAGCTACTGCAGCTGCGGCTAGAGTGCACCCTGAGGGAATTCAGGGTGGAGAAGAATAGGATACTGGCCCTAGATAGTTAAGGTGTATATCAAAGGGATGATTTTAGTGACTACTGCATCCTCTCATACAAAAAAAAATAGTGCTAAATTCATTAATTTAAGATGTCTGGTTTTCTTAATTAACACCAATCTTTTGATGCTCCAACAGCCGTTTTTTTGCTTTGTTTTTTTAATGTTGGGCTGAGCTAGGTCTTGGTTGCTGCCCACAGACTTTCTCTCGTTGTGGCAAGCAGGGACTACTCTCGGGTTGTGGTGTGCAGGCTTCTCACTGCGGTGGCCTCTCTTTTTGCAGAGCGCAGGCTTTAGGCACGCGAGCTTCAGCAGTTGCAGCACTCGGGCACAGTAGTTGTGGTGAGTGGACTCAAATGCAGCATGCAGGCGCTGGAGCACGTGGGCTTCAGCAGTTGCAGCCGGAGGCGCAAGAGCAAAGCTCAGGAGTCGTGCTGCCCCAGCCTAGGGGCGACACAGCAAGTGGGATCTTCCCAGACCAAGGACCGAACTCACGTCCTATGCATTGGCAGGAGAATTCTTAACCGCTGGGTCACCAGGGAAGTTTGACAACCTGGTTTTTGTTGCAAAATTCCTATGTATCCTGGCTCCTCCCTTACTGCCTCTTCAGAGCAATCCCTCAGAGCTATCTCAGAGGCTGCCCCCTGGGGCCTGAGTCCACAGCAATCCACCAAATAAAACATAATTCTCAACTGTGTATTTTTTTTTTCAGTCTACAGACAGACCAAAGAAGAGAAGTTGAAGAAGATTTAAAATGAGGAGCAGGAAGTATGTCTTCAGCCTTCTGGTGAAGGAGAACCGTGAGCCTCTCTTGACTGCACTGTTGATGTTGCTTGTGTGGCTGTGTGGTCTACGCTGCCCACAGTGGGCGGGTGGAAGCCTCTTGCTCATCAGCTTGTTCATGCAGAAACAGCTTGTGAGAGCAATGACTATCCCATGCAAATCCCGAGCAAGAAAGGTGGGGGAAAATTCTAGAATATTTGCAGGAAGTTAAGTAATGACATAAAGAAGTCCTTACTTAAGAAATACTTCACATTACAATCAGCACTTACAGAAGGAACTAGTGGTGGGCAGGGGAAGCACATATTATTTATGTACTCTACAAGACGATTTCCTCACTGTATAAAAAGCCAGATATTTCTTCTCGGACGTCAGCACTCATGGTGCACTAAATGTAAACTTAACGCATGTAATAAAGCTAATTAGACAACTTTTGACTAATAAACCTACTGTTTAATAAGCATAATAAACATGGCCGTGCTCTGCAGTGTTATAGATAAAGTGTTTTGTTTTGTATTTTAATAAACACACTTTGGGGATAATTTCCATAAGTGTTGTACAGCAGACACTAACATTTGCTGACAAAGTTCTGTATAGTCAAAGCTATGTTTTTTCTAGTAGTCATGTACGGATGTGAAAGCCGGACCATAAAGTAGGCTAAGCTTCGAAGAATGGATCCTTTTGAATTGTGGTGCTGAAGAAGACTCTTCAGAGTCCCTTGGACAGCAAAGAGATCAACCAGTCAATCCTAAAGGAAATCAACTCTGAATATTCATTGGAAGGACTGATGCTAATGCTGAAGCTGAAGCTCCAATACTTTGGCCACCTGAGGCAAAGAGACGACTCATTGGAAAAGACCCTGATGCTGGGAAAGACTGAGGGCAGGAGGAGAAGGGGCAGCAGAAGATGAAATGGTTGGATGGCATTACTGACTTAATGGACATGAGTTTGAAAAAACTCTGGGAGACAGTGAAAGAGAGGGAAGCCTAGTGTGTTGCAGTTCATGGGGTCACAAAGAGTGGGACACGACTTAGCGACTGAACAACAACAAAAAACAACAAAGCAATCATACTCCAATAAAAATTAATTTAAAAAAGAAAATAAAGTCAAGTCAAAAAAATTCTATAAGATAATGTCTTTCTCAAGGTCCAATGTAACGTGTGTGCCTACTGTGAATTGAATAGAGAAGGCTTGTCAGTTGCCTTTGAAGGTGAAATCCGTTTTGTGATGAAAGGTCTGTAATACTAACATGTTACCACAAGGGGGCCGCGCACCACAGGGTAGTTAGCAAAACCCGCGACTGGGAATGCGCAGCCTTGGGCGAGACTGCCTTGTTCCGGGACGGGGGTAGGGGGTGGGGGGACAAATCATTTACAGTTGTGATGAGGCAGATCTGATGGTGCCTTGGCACAGCCGAAAGCCCTAAGTATTTGCCAGAAACCTCCTGTTTGCCAGAACAGCCTTCTCCTGCAGAGAAAGGATGAAATCATTTTGTGTGATGGACAAAACTTAAACATTGACAGAAACAATGTTTCCTATATAAATACAAAATTTGGCCACCGACATCATCAACAAATGTGATTTTAAGCAGGTACCAATACACACCGAATCGTAAACATACTATTTTCCCTTCAAGTTCCTTTCATGAGCTTATAGAAGTGCATGCTCTCTCACGCATGCTGTCACTCAGCCATGTCTGACTCTTTGTGACCCTTTGGACGGTAGCTCGCCAGGCTCTTTCGTTCAGGAGATTTTTCAGGCAAGAATACTGGAGTGGGAGGTGCCATTTCCTCCTCCCGGGGATCTTCCCGACCCAGGGATTGAACACGTGACTCCTGCATTGCAGGTGGTTTCTTTACCGCTGAGCCAGCAGGGAAACCCTAGAAATGCATGAAGTGAAATAATTCATTCATGTTCTACTGATCATGTCTTTGGACTGTCTCTGGATGGAAATAATGCTTAGGGTTTATAGTAAATTATCATTGAGTAAGGGCTTCCCTGGTGGCTCAGAGGTAAAGAATTTGCCTGTAATTACTGAGTAAAAATAAGTTCCCAAGAAATTTAGGATAGAAAATTAGAGGTGTTTTTGCTTTGTTTTAGGGAAAATTTTCCTTTGATATTTTTGTAATGGACTAGATTTCCACTGAATGTGTTTAAATATTATAAAGGTGATTAAACATGTCAGGAAACCAAGTGAATCTACTCTGTCTTGTCTATACCAGCTAAAGGACAAATCAATGGTCCTTTGGTTCCAAGTCCCAGATCTGGCCAAAAGCAGCACATGAACTGACCATTCCATAGTTTTCACCTCATGGGAAAACTTAGCCAAGGGGAGTTTATGCTTGACTATGTGGCAGATTCACGTATGTCTTCTGATACTCATTTTCCTGTCTTTCTTCGTACCAAAGCTGCCAGCTGTCAGCTGAGTATATCACTGCACAGAATAAAGTCTATGTTTCTCAGACTTACTTTTAGGTATGACCAAACCATGGCCTATAAAGATCCCCTTTCAATGGGATGAAAGCAAAAGTGGTGTTCTTTAAAGTGGCAGGGCATTACTTTCCTGATGGCTAAAATGTGGATGTGATGGTTGGAGCTGGAGCAGCCACACTGGGTGTTGTGGAGAAAGATGGATCATGAGGAGGGTGGAGAAATAAGACAGAGAGAACCAGGTCTCTCATTATTATGAACCATCACAGCAGCCTGCATTACCTCCCTGGACTGCTCTAAGAAAGAAAAATATAAATATTTTGTGCTCTCGGTTACCTGCAGCTGAATCTGTATATCAATAGAGGTGTCTTGAGAAAACAGGTGAGAGGTAATAAGATGGAATTTTTACTCACTTTGTCATTGTTTCGTATTTTTTTTAATCACCAATCAACATTTAATTGAACACTGTAAGAAGGACAGCGCTGGGTGATCTGGTATTATCCTTAAGGATAGAGTTGGATCAAGACACCATAGGCAAAGTTCAATTGTTAAAAAAATCCTTCTGGAAAATTGCTCCAGCACTACTGTATAAATGTAGCAGTACTTGATCAGAGCCATAGCCGCTTCTGACATGTATGCTTTCCCTCCCGGGAGCAGAGGTGGTGTTTATCTTGAAATTCCCTTTGTGATGCAAGAACACAAAGTCAAAATCCTATTCCTCCCTTCAAACCTGAAGCTTGATGCAAAACATGCAAAGTCCGTGGACACTGTGTTGATGGCCATGGTATTGAGGCTAACCTGCATCTGCTCCTTCTGATAAAGAACGCTTTAGGGGGAGTTCCCAGGTGATCCAGTGATTAGGACTCGGCACTTTCACTGGCATTGCCCAGGTTCAATCCCCGGTCAGGAAACGAAGATCCTGAAACCTGTGTGGTACAGAAAAAAAAAACCAACCCACCACTTTTCTGGTTCAAGGTTGAGCAGAGGCAGGCTCCTTGCCCTCTAGATCCCTACACAGTGTCACACATTCTAGAAAAAAATGTTTTCACACCATCCCTTGTCCGCCAGTCCCATAGGGAAAATGAAAGGGGAGTCCACAGGCCAAAGGACTTCTCACCACTCCAGGTAGCACTCAGGGTGTGGGGCCGAGGGGTAGGGGACATTTTCTGGTAGCCCTGAGTCCTCACCTGGATGGATGAGGGACAGGACTGCTGTCAGCAGGACCCAAGGGATCTGAGAGCAGCACGTGCCCAATGCCCCAGGTTCTCTCAGGAGCAGCATCAGGCCCTTCTAGGGACTTATTATATAGCCCATAAGGCTTGCAGGGTAGAGCCCAGCTCTAAGGAAGTGTTCCGAGTAAAGAGAAGCCTGGCAACCTAATCTCATCCAGAGTAAGGAGGGCAGCTACACAGCACAATGAGGGTAGCAAGGCCTTCAGCAACGGGGGCTTTCTGGGCAAAGAAACATAACTTTTTAGAAACATAACTAAAAGCCAATGGCTGATTTATTTTCCAAATTAGACATAGCATCTGATGCAGATGGTGATATTCTACCAATGTTGCACAAGGCTGTTTTGTACAATGCAAAGCCTACGGGCGTCACCTACTTCAGGGAACCATCTGGTGACCAAAAGGAAAGCATCTCTCTCCAGGTAGCAGCCCTTGCCTGAAGGGCCTAGGCCCCATGATGAGAACTATTCCTGGATCCCTTATCAAAACAGTCCACAATTTACCACCACACCTAGCAAAGAGCCATATGTTAACACAAAAGCAGAGAGGAACTGGCAGTAAAAATGTGCCCAGTATTCAGGGGACTCACTGCTCTGTGATGCTCTGATTATTTCAGGCTTCATTAAAGCCAAGAATTGATGCTTTTGAACTGTGGTGCTGGAGAAGACTCAAAGAGTCTTAGACTCTTGGACTGCAAGGAGGTCAAACCAGTCAATCCTAAAGGAAATCAACTCTGAATATTCATTCGAAGGATTGATGCTGAAGCTCCAATACTTTGGCCACCTGCCTGATGTGAAGAGCCAACTCATTGGAAAAAGACTCTGATACTGGGAAAGACTGAAGGCAAGAGGAGAAGTGCATAACAGAGGACGAGATGTTGGATGGCATCACCGACTCAATGAGCTAACTTTGGGAGATAGTGAAGGACAGGGAAGCCTAGTATGCTGCAATCCAGGGGGTCACAAAAATTCAGACACAACTGAGCAACTGAACAAGGCCTATATGAATTCTTTCTAAATGCTTTCAAGAATGTCTGCCTCTAATTCCACACTCACAGGAAGCCTCCAGAACAACACAGCACCTCAGAGAAGTTGACACGAAAAGAGGAAGGTGCACCAGTTGGCAATCTTAAGCACTGTGGTACTTAAGAGACTCAACCCTCACTGTATCATAAGGGAAGTGCCATCCTGGTTTTTGCATGGTCAGTTTCTACTATCTTGTGCAGGAGGGCCTCATCATTTCAGGTGGGGATACTGACAAAGCTGAGGATCAAGGTGGGGTCCACACTAAGGTAATGATCCTGGTCCGGGAGGCTAGCTGGCTTCATGGGGCAACCCTCTCTAGACTCAGGATAGTAAGTTTGGGCTCACCTGCCAACAGTAGGGAGTGGCTACTAATAGAGTGTGATAAAGCTTGTGAAGCTCAAGAGAAAACAAGTACCATGATTGATTAGCAATGTCTGCGATAGATCAAGGGCAAGGAGGGGTGTAGACAGATGAGTGTAATGGGGTACCCACATAGCAAGTAATGTGTTTCATCTCTTTTAACAAGCACATCACCCCCACCCTCCATTCTTCCATCTTTGAAATTGGGATGCCTCTTTTACACTGTGCCAGATTGTATTTCCAAAAGTGAACACAGTATTTCAGTCTCTCACATGTTCTTCCAGAACCTAGCCAAGCTCCCATCAGAAAATGGAATGTATGTCCCCTCCCCTTGCATTGGTGGGACGGTTGGAGGGAGTGGGTATGACTGCCTTAGCTGATATAACAGTGAGGTAAAAGTGATGCGAGTGAATTATGAAGGTAGGCCATTAAAAACGTTATTGCTTCTACCTGGCCTTCTCTTTGGGGATGCTCATTCTTGGAAACCAGCCACCATGCTCTGAGGAAGCCCATGCAATATGGAGAGGCCCCTGGTTCTCAGGCCTAGCTGAAGTCCCAGGGGACAGTCAGCACCACCTTGCAAGCCGTCTGAGTGCTGCCTTGGAAGCAGGTGCTCCAGCCTTGAGCAAGACTGCCGTGGACTCTGTGTGGAGCACAGATGAACCTCCCTACTAAGCCCTGCCCAAACAACAGACCTTAAACACAGTAAATGATGCTGCTGTCTAAGATACTAAGGGCAGCAGTGGTTTGTTACACAGCAGCAAGCCAGGCAGCAATGCTAACAGTTGTCATGGCCTGCAAGTGTACGCCAAAACTTGTAGGATAAGTGTCAGTTAACTGAAGGAAAACTTTGAAGACAATAAAGAAGCATGTTTTAAAGAAACGTTGCATCATCAACGATGTTTATGATAGGTCCTTGCAAAGGACAATACTGTAAGAAGAAAAAGAATCAGTTCAGTTCAGTCGGTCAGTCATGTCTGACTCTGCAACCCCATGAATCGCAGCACGCCAGGCCTCCCTGTCCATCACCAACTCCCGGGGTTTACTCAAACTCATGTCCACTGAGTTGGTGATGCCATCCAGTCATCTCATCCTCTGTCGTCCCCTTCTCTTCCTGCCCCCTGTCCCTCCCAGCATCAGGGTCTTTTCCAAGAAAAAGAATAGCAGTGACTCAATTCAAAAAGTGACTCAGAAGGATCAGACTCTGAATAGGAAGAAATCTAAGGAATATCACACCAAATTTATTTTGAATATATTTTCCTTTTAAAGGACATACAAGAGTGGCAATATAATGAAAAACACTATATCATTTTAAATAAGTTTGAAAAAGCATTCAATGAATATGAAAGAAACACTAAGTGATAAGAATGCATTGTATCAGTTTCATTGACAACATTTTTCTTTCTCAGTGGCATAAGATAATCTTACAGTCAAGGACATCTTAGGGCATCCTTGGTGGCTCAGTAGTAAGGAATCCGTCTGCCAATGCAGGAGACACGGATTTGATCCCTGGTCCAGGAAGATCCCACATGGCGTGGAGCAACCAAGCCCATGAGCCACAACTATTTAGCCTGTGCTCTAGAGCCCGGGAACCAGAACTACTGAAGCCCACGTGCCCTAGAGCCTGTACTCTGCAACAACAGAAGTCACCACAATGAGAAGCCCACACACTCCAGCTACAGACTAGCCCTCGCGCACCACTAAAGAAAAGCCCGTGAGCAATCAAGACCCAGCATAGTCAAAGGTACATAAATGAAATTTTTAAAAATATGTTTTATCATTCTTGACTTAAATCTAATTATACCACCAAATATAAGTGTTCTAAGAAATTTCATAAATTTTTCATTTTTTTTCCTTTGAAAATTAAAAACAAAAACAAAACACATCAAAGATAGGCTTTTTTAAAGTTCAATTTAATTTTTACTTTAATAATTATGTCCATAGCTTGGCTCTATAAACATTTAGGGAATTTTTTAAAGTTTAATTTTCTGAATTTAATATTATTCAAACAAGTGACTTTCCAAGAACCCCTGAAATCATAAGAATTTTATGAGTGTTCTGGTTCTGTCTCTTGAAGGAGGGGGAGTGGTTACTGAAAAGGTGATGAAGTCAATGTCTCTGAGCTTAGCTGCAGACATGGGCACTGGAGAAACAAAGTGACTTAAGAGACACTTATTAAGAATCAAAACTTCTACAGACTTCAAAAACAAAATTTACTCACAAAATATATTAAAAAGTTTGACAAAAAACAAGACTACAAAAGTCCCACAGTCTTATACATCTCAACATCATCACAGTCAGCAACTAAAGTCTCCAGTATTCAACTTGTTTTTTAAGATTAAAAAATTTTAAAAAAGAAAAGTCTTTGTAATCACAGCATTTCATTCTGAGTTAAACTGCTGAAAACTGATGACCATGTCACTTTGGTATTTTATAGAGCAATGTTCTTCATGGAGATTTACTGACATTGAAATATCTCAAAGTGTATTTATTTATGAAGGTTAATTCACAATAGTTTTACCAAGGTAAACTATTTTAAAACAAATTAAATCACTACTACAAACCTGTAAAGACTAAAATGCAATAATACAAATGTAATTACAGAATATGAAACTCTGAGGACATAGAACAAATTTAAAATAATTAATTACAGAAAAGTTGCAACTTTTTATTAGAAATGGAGGGGGAGGAACAGAGTTGGCTCTGGAGACCTTGGTGCCACCAAGGTGGTCAGCAAACCACCACCCAGTCAGGACGCTGGTCAGGCCGTGTGACTTTTCACAGCCAGAGAGAGGCTGGCCCAGAGGTTTGCCTGGGGCCTTTTCCCATCAGTCAAACGGCACTTTGTTCAGTGAGGGTCAGAGGATCCCAGAATGTATTCTACATTCTCTGAGTATTTGCTTTGGAGGGTTTCAAGTCCAAAGATCAGATTTTGTGGAGTTTTGTAACGATCAGTACTCTCACCGTTTGGTCAAATGAACTACAGATGCACAGACCTCTCTTATCTGGACTCCAGTCCAAACTTGAAATGGGCTGAGTAGACAACGTAACATTCTGCAGAAGGCTGACCGAACCTGCAACTCCCATCTCTACACCCTCGGAATCTTTCTTTGATCGCTGAATCGGGTATTCGCTGAAAATAAGATCAAAGTGTATAAGGAGATAAACCTTAGTATTTGTCATTTTATTCTTACACATGTGCTCCAATAGCTATTTTTATTTCTCACTTGACTACTGGAACTGATAAATACTAAGGCATCTTTCTTGGAGAAGGAAGTGAATACACACTCTGGTATTCTTGCCGGGAGAATTCCATAGACAGGGGGAGCCTGGCAGTCTATCGTCCATAGGGTTGCAAAGAGTCGGACACAGCTGTCTGACTAACACAAGACATCTTTCTAATGTTGAGTTGTATTGCAATAAGGAGACAGTATTTCAACCTCAAGCCCAAACCCCACAAATCTCATAAAAAGCCATTATTTCTACTAAAAACATTGAAACATCATTTCTGTTCAGCATGAGTATTTTTTATCTTACTATGAAAGCTCTAGATTGATCTAGCATCTTTAATAAAATTGATCTGGTGCTCTTAATCATCTTTTACTATAATTCTCTAGATGTGAATTGTTAAGATGCCACAAGTAACCTTCTGCCTTACAAGTAACATTTGCAAAACCTCATCTTAACACTTCCAGAAGAGACACTGATGCTGGTTTCTAAGCCCAGAGCTCCTCCAAGCTGAAGGACCTTCTATGTACCATTTCTAAGGGAAAGTGCTATTGGGAGGAGATTTTAGACCTGGACATCATTGCCTCAAAAAAGAAAACAGTGAGTTCTAGAACGTTTGATCTTCTATCAGCTAAAAATATAAAATTATAACATAAAAAGAGCTGAAGGTTAACAACTCATAAATATGATTTGGTCTAGATTTGAGAAAGTGAGAAATGAAACACCTGTCCCCCATGGAGATGTGCTCCTAATGAAACACAGGGGTATTCCTCTGAAGGTCTTTGAAAGCCTGTTAGGTATCAACTATGACTACCCTTATTTCAAAAGTAGTAACAAAGGCCAAGACTTTCAAGAGGCATGAAGCAATTCAGAAGCAGAACAGAAACAAAGAAATGATAAGCAGATAACCACCTAGCCTTTCTTCCTCTCAGACCCTACACCTCCTTTTGATTTTTAAAAAGAATACAACATTCAGATGAACGGACATTTTCCATGTCTCTTGGCAAAGCCTGCAGTTGTTTAGTATTTAAAAGATAACAAAGATCTTTTTTTTTCTTTCCCTAAATCAGTGGAAACTGATCAAGATGGCTGAGAATAGGATGTAGAGCTCACCTCTCCCTACAAACACTGAAAACTAACTGGAAACTGGCACAAGGATTTCTGTACAACCAAGCTGCGAGGAGAAACTCATGGAATTAGGAAAGGAAGAAAAGAAAAGAAAAGAAAAGTGATCAGATAGGACCTGGGCCCCTGGGAAGGGACTCAGAGGAAAAGCGGAGAAACATAGGCAGACACCCGCCCTGGGGGGTAGGTGATGCGAGCTACAGAGTGGGTGCCTCCAGGTCCTATGTTGGGGAGACAAGTCCCCTTGGCTGCTTGGAGGGCCACTGGGACTCACAGGAAGGCTGCAGCCTGGGCCCACCTCCCTGGCTTCTGTTCAGCAACTAGGGGAAAAAACCAGATGTACACAGTGAAAATTTTAACAAAGAACTAGAAAATATATAAAGACCATTAAGAACTCAATAGGTGAAAAAAAAATACTAAAAGAAACAAATAACAGACAGTGATACTGAAGAATATATAAATGACCTAGAAAACAGGATGATCAAAATCACCCAATCAGAGGAGCAAAAAGAAAAACAAATTTTAATAAATGAAAACAGTTTAAAAGAACTCTGGGATGACATTAAGTGTACAAATATTCTAAAGGGAGTAAGAGAAAAACAGAAAGTCGCATACAAAGGACTCTCCAGAAGGCTATCAGCTCATTTTTCTGCAGAAACTTTGCAGGTCGGAAGGGAATGGCACAATACACTCAGAGTGTTGAAAGGGAAAAATCTGCAACCCGGGATGTTTTGCCCGGAAAGATTATCATTTAGAATAAAAGGAGACATAAAACAACTTCTCAGACAAGCAGAAACTCATCAACACAAACCTACCCTAAAAGAAATGTTAAAGGGTCTTCTCCATGTGGACAAGAAGAATCTACAGGAAAGGGGAAAGCCCACTTGGAAAGGCAAATAGAAAGCAAAAGCAGACGCGCGAACACAATGACAAGGCTCTTCCTGGAGGCCGGGCAGCGTCTTCAAGCTCTGTTCCTGTCCCATCACAGTGACGTCACCTGAACTTGGGCAAGTCCATTATCAGGATCTAAAACTTAAGAATTTCAGCCTCTTTCCTTTCTTCCAAAGGTTCTGTTCTGATGACCGAATAATAATATTTCACAAAAACCTTCAGTCAAAGTCTTCCTATTAAAAAAAAAAAAACTAGCAAAAGCCACGATTTCAAATTTATGAAGTGTTCATGAGCTACTCTAAAGTATGGAACATACCACTATAAAACCTATTTGTTGTGTTAAAAGGTTTATATTGCTATTTATAAAATATAAATAAGTATATTGGTAAAAAAAAAAGCTTAGAAAGTAATTCTTATGTAATACCATGAAATGTAAAGTCATATCAAAGTGAACGAAGTCAGGAGGAAAACCAGAGAGCTCAGTCGAATCCTACTTTATGCCCACAAGTCACCTAAATGCACAGTGCACTGGGAGAGACTTACTACTTCCAGAGGTGCAGGCTGCCGGCGCCCCCCGCCGTCAGGAAGACCTCCCGGTTCTGTGGCAGGTGTCGGACCTGCCACACAGTAGATTTATGAGCCTGAACAGAACAAGAGGCACATAAGCGGTGTGTAAGTTTTTAGGATAAAGAAAGACTACCGTACATAGAGAGCAGACCTGTGGTTGCCAGGGGAGAGGAGGGCTGGGGATGGGAAGGACTGGTAGTTTGGAATTAGCAGATGCAAACTATTATATACAGAACAGATAAACAACAAGGTCCTACTCTAGCACAGGCAACTATATTCGATATCCTGTGATAAACCATATTGGAAAATAATATGAAAAAGAATGGATATATGCATATAACTGAAATACTCTGCTGTAGAGCAGAAATTTATACAACATTGTAAATCAACTATACTTCAATAAAACAAATTAGGAAAAAAAGGTTGTCCTAGAAGAGAAACCTGTAAAAAAACAATTTTTACCTCTATCAATGACAATTTTAGTAACTTCGATCATTTCAGTCACTGTTATAAAAGTAATTATTTTCTGGCATGTGTCTCTTTTTAAGCGTTCTTATTTATTTTTAAATTAAAAATTTTTTTTTGGCTATACTGCATGGCTTGTGGGATCTTAGTTCCCCAACCAGGGATTGAACCTGGACCCTGGGCAGTGAAAGTACCAAGTCCCCTGGCACTTCTCTTTATAATGGCTAAAGAATCATTTTTCTAGTTTTATAAAGCAAAGTTCTGCTGAACTTAAAAAAAACTTATCAGATTAAAAGTCTTAACATATAGCTTTATAGTATCATACAAATTATGCAAATAGATTTTATACATTTAAATATCTCTAGCTCACTCTAAGGAGAAAAAAAACCTTAAAATACAAAAAAAAGAAAAATATTTTCTAAGGAGAAAAAAGGATGGACTGAACTTCTTTTTAACAACTTTACTTTTTTAGAGCAGTACCAAGAATTACCATAAATAGAATGAATTTAATATAAAGCTCCAAGTCTTATCTGTAATTTACACCACTGTACTTGTCTAGTCTTCAAAACAAGGGTCAGGAGGACTTACAGTGTTTATGGTTGTAACAAGCCCGGTCCTTTATCAGTCATATTAAAGATAGAAATAGCAACTGGATGAATGTTAACAGCTTGTAAATCAATCCTTATAGTGCTACATTCACTGTGTGGAACTTGAGAGCGAGGGGGGAGGGAGAGACAGGAGGATGGGGGAGGGAGAAAAGACTTCTGCTTCGTAGAAGTAGTGAGACCAGCGAACTTGATTTAAGCCACACATAAGACATCTGCATTTCAGTTAATGATCAGTCTTGACATATGATTTTAATAGCCTTTTAAGAGAATTACTATTAGCAGAGAAAAACACATATCTCAAAAGATACACTTTAAGTATGTGAGAGTCCTCAAGTGACTAGGTTCAAGCTGTTAAATCTTAATTTGTTTTGTAGCTTAAACTTCTCTTTTTCTCCTGGAAGCTGATAAAAAGCAAAAAGTAAGAGGGGAAATGACTAAAATACGCCAGTCTTTTATTTGACAGATTTAGCAATTACTGGATTAACTAAATGTAACAAAAAAAATTTTTTTTGGAGACACTGTAATTTCCAGTTAAGGAGAAATGTGTTAACAATTGTATTTGGAACAATTTAGTAAGTGCTTTATGTTGCAGATGGGCTTCCCTTGTGGCTCAGCTGGTAAAGAAACCAACTATGATGCGGGAGACCTGGGTTCGATCCCTGTGTGGGGAAGATCCCCTGGAGAAGGGAAAGGCTACCCACTCCAGTATTCTGGCCTAGAGAATACCATGGACTGTATAGTCCATGGGGTCGCAAAGAGTCAGACACGACTGAGTGACTTTTACTTCACTTACGTTGCAGATAGATACTTTATATATTCTGGAATGACAAAGGCAAAACAAAATTACAGTGGATAGCTAGTTACCTTAAGATTACAGTTCACTGAACAGTAACAGTAATTTGTATGCAATAATAATTAGTTTAATAATATTAAGACAAAATATGAAGGTCTGAGAAGTACTACTGACTCCATGATAGAGGGAAAAGGAGCAAGGGAGTGAATTTTTATTTCCTGAGCAACTTACATAATTTAATATTATGGAAACTACAAATCTGAGACTAATTTTTCTTTTCTTTTATACTCGAGGAAGCTCATAGTCACATTTCCAACTCATCTCTCACAAATGATGGGATGTTTCAGCAGGAACTTTATGCCATCCCCTTACTCCAGACGGCAATTTCATTTTTTTAAACCAGTGCTTTCCACTTGTGCTGCTTTCTTCATCAATTTTTCTAATGTTGTAATACCAAATGTTTCCCTCTAAGTTACCTCAAACACTATTTGGAACAAGGCAAAGTATATCTATGAGGCTTCTCTGATGGCTTAGCAGTACAGAATCTGCCCGTAATGGAGGAGAGGCGGGTTTGATCTCTGGGTTGGGAAGATCCCCTGGAGGAGCCCAGTGGGCTATAGTCTGTAGGGTCGCAGAGAGCTGGACACGACTGAGCACACATGGATAAATGTTGATACATTTTTGAAAAGTATATAATTAGTATTATGTTAAGGTATATATTGGGCTTCCATGGTGGCTCAGATAGTAAACAATCTGCCTGCAATGCAGGAGGCTGGGTTTGATCCCTGGGCTGGGATACTGGCATATACCTAAAAGTATATAATTGGGTATTAATACAAATATATTTATTAGGAAACACCAGACTATGTTTTGTTAACCAAATTCTTTTTTTCTTAATTTTTTAAAGAAAATTCTGACAGTTGCTTTACAATGTTATGTTAGTTTCTGCTGTACAAAGTGAATCAGCCACACATAGACAGACATACTCTCTTTTTTGGATTTCCTTCCCACTTATCGTTGACTAATTTCTTAAACCAGCTAGTTTTCTTGTGATTGCTCTTAAACTACAAAATAAGAGTCACTACCAACGAAGGCCTTTATTATGAATATAATCAAGAAATATGAAACTGACAAACTTTGGGAAAAGTATTCTTTGTACAGAAAAACTTATCAAGATCCTACAAGAATATATTAAAAATAGCTCCCTTCATGCAAAAAACCTGGAAGGAACTTGGTGACTCATTCTATTTATCAGTCTAAAGCAAGCTATTAATATGAACATTCTTCATAGAAAGGTATTTCCCTCCTCTTTACCTTTTCTGAAACAGAAGCAAAACCTTTGGTTGGATGCTGTGTTCTCATGTCAAAAACATGAAACTTTCCTTCCAGAGATGTAGCTACTAACTTATTCATACTTATGTCTTTTCTGTCAAACTCCAAGCTACACACCTGAAAATAGAGAATATTTATGAGTGATGCTCCAATGATTATATCCAAGAGTTTCTTTCAAACCAAGTAAAACAACTTTCACATTATTGGCTCATGTGAAAGCACTTAAAAAACTATCATTTTATCTTTTGAATCTGTATACCAAATACTTGTAACTAGAAAATTTTCTTCTCAGTTAGTAAGATCCCATAATCATCTAAGGCACTGAGGTACATTTGGAAAGCCATAATTTAACATTTTACCATTATTACATAATGATTTTATAAAGTTAAGTCAAGGCTGACTAGAGGAAACAGGAAGGAACCACATTCTTCACTAAAGATGTACAACCCAGGAACCAAAAACTTGCAAGTACCTGGGAGTCAATTACAATCTCGGGCTTCCTGATATTACCAGCTCACTTTAACATCACACTGCGTAGCCCACAGACATCCAGAGACGGGTGCAGGGGCGGTGACCCAGCAGGTACTGTCACACCACACCTGGGTGTGTGTTCTCCTTCTGCAGAGAGCGTCCCTGAGTTTTAATCAGATCCTCAAAGGACTTCACAGACCCTAAAGGTTAAGAACCATCCATTCATAAAGGAGTTTTACTGAGACGAGTTATTAGGGGTGCTTTCCTTTTGTAGTTCAGAGGTGTGTGGAAAAGACATTCAGAGAAACTGCAAAGAATGCAAATGCACATTACCCCATTTTTTATATTTGTCTCCCACCGTAAGGACATATTTCTGAGATCAAACAGCTTGATGTCTCCATTGTCGTAGCCGGCACACACGACACGTTCCTCTTGATTATAGGTGTTGCCTGGAAATCAGGACATGGCATTTCAGATCTTTTTAAACGCTGATTTGAAGGCTGCTTAAAAAAACTTATGGACATCTGAAACTAACATAACATTGTAAATCAACTATACTCCAATAAAAAACAAAACAAAACAAAAAAATAACCTTACAAAACTACACAGGTCACTTGTACCAAATCAGGTGAAGAAGTCACATTGGGTAGAATCTCATTTTACTAATCCTATAGGACACCAGGATTATTAATTTAGTGTCTGATATTGTCTATCAAAAAAGCTCTTTACTGAGATTCTGTGCTCAAGAGATATATGAAAGTGTTTACTGGATTTTAAATTGAAAACAAATATTCTTTCTATACTCTATTTGCAAAGACTAACAATTCAAGCATAGCAGGATTTGGTACAATAAATACATTTACACTTCCATTGCTTTCTTTGAATGCAAATGGAAACTACTTTAAACTTATTTATTTTGCAAAATGTTGTTCTGGTGTTATCAGATGCTCACAGTTGAAGTAAATCTACAACCTGCAGTTGAATTCATCTTGCTCAGATCCAGGAATTTTTTGGATTACTCCCTTTTCTTATAAACTCCAGTCCTGCATTTCCACTGGAGGGTTCACCAAGATGACATGACAGCAGCTGAAACTCATGATGTCTAAAACTGATGTCATCATCTTCCTTTAAAAACTATTATATACTCTGTGGAACTTTTTCAATTAACATCATTCACTTCATAGTCAACCTCAAAATTCAGTTACCTTGGACATAATCCTTTCCCTTGTTCCTCATGTCCAAAAAAAAGCCAAACTGTATTTATTTTGCCACATTGTTATCTTCTGAATTTACTCTTCTGTTCCATTCTCACTGCTTCTTAAACCTACATATTTCCTGGAATACTGCAAAGAGCTTCAGAACTCACATTTCCTCTGCCACTCAGCAATCCTGCCTACATGACCACAGTGTAAAGCTAAAGCTCTGATCATATCTCATCCTTGCAAAAGCCTTCAAAGGTTTACCACTACCTCCAGACCATCTAAACACCTCTGGCTGTGGCCATATGCCATCTTTAAGGCTATTCCTACCTCCATTCCTTCTACATACTCTTCTTCCAATGCTTGAAATTTCCCAATTTCAGTGTTTCAAATCCTACATATCCTTGGACTGAGGTCAATATGTTCTTTTGGCTCCCTTGGGATTCATTGATCCATGCCTCTGTGACCTTTTATCACTCTGACCTTGTATGAGTGATGCAATTAATGTAAATAGCACTTTTTATTAAAATTACCAGCTTCTTGAAGTTAAAATAAGAGTCTGCTTCAGATAAATGTCCTTTCTTTAAATTTAATGTCCTATATTTAGAACTGCACTTACATGCCTTAGAACAATGATTAAAAAGCCTTTAATGGACCCAAAGTTAATTATTTTTTAATTATTACATAAATTTTATATGATGATTCTAAACACTAATTCTGAAATTTCTTCCCAAGTGTGCATGTTTTTGGTTTATATTGTTACTTATACACACACACATAGTAATTATAACATATACACATAGAAATCTCCCAATTTCAGTGGTAATTTAGTTTTAAAATGGGAAATTTAAAACTTTCCTCTGATGAAGCAACAATCCAATTTAAAACTAACATAAAAAGTTAGACAGGCCACATACATTGTTAAATCTCATTTTTAATGTCTGTTAATCTACACCGATTATACTAAGAAAAAGGGGAAAGAAAATAATGGTTTAAAACTAAATATGGATCTTATCTTTATTCTTAATAGCAAAAATGACTGTAATTTTGGTGCTCAGTGAAAGATACAAGGGCAAACATCAATATTCATTTTAAGTATATTAATAGAGGAACATGATTATAAAATTTTTAAGATATAATTTTGTAACAGTATAATTAGTTTTAGAAAATACACACACACTGTGTAGCGTACAATGTAAGCTTGGTTAGGTTGCCATCTAAGGCTCTACTTAATTTCCCTAATGGCATGTGGTTCTAAACTAGGTCAATATTACCAAGTTAAACAGAAATAAATAATAGTCCGTATTTTTGAACAGTTGATATCTAAGCACAATTCTAAGCATTTTACGTGTATTAACTCTGAATTCTCATAACAATACTATTAGGTAAATTCTATTATGACTTCCATTTTATAAATGAAGCAAACAAAAATCAGAGAAGCCTGATAACTTGCCCTGGGTCACAAAGCCAGTAAGTAGCACAGTGAGAATTCAACCCCAGGCCCAATCATCATGTCTATCTGCCTCGATAAACTGCCAGAATAATGTACAGAAGAGATTCTAAACCGACTGTCAGGACTTTCCTGAAGCACTGTGCTTTTTATAATCTGGTGTTTCAGTGTAAGATCCTTCAGTAATTTACCAAATGCCACAGTCCAACAGTCTCTCTTGTTTTCTCCTTGTATAGGTTCCATATTAGCAACAGGATCATCTTTCTGCCTTGGGTCCCACACCTTTACAGTTCCTGACATGAAAAAAAAAGGAGTTGGCAAAATTCAATAGTGAATGATGGCATTTCTTTCTGCATTCTCTTCACATGGCTTCCTATGTACATGGAGATATTATCGATGCTACAATATCTGAGAAATAGTCACGTTTTTCTGACTTGTTATTGGGCAAGCTGTACTTAATTTAAGAGATATAACCCACATGTTATACCATCTGACTTGATTTCCAACTAGTAGATACACAACAAAGCCAACAACTGTTCTTAAGTCATCAACAAGGTATGACTGAAAAGGCAAACACAGATGTTACATAATTTAAACCATGCCTTACTTTCTTGATTTAAGCCCAAAACAAATGTACTATTTATTTAGAATAAAGCAAGTGTCATTTTAATGTTTTCTCCTTAGTACCCAATATAATCATTGGCATTTTTCTTATACATATAAACTAATTTTTATATCTATGATTTCGTATATGAAGCTTTAGAATACCATTTCATATACAATTCAGTTTAATTTCCCCATGGCAATAAAGAAGAGAGAAGTTGATAAAAGTAACCAGTAATTCTTCTCAATTTAATTTTAACTCCTTCATTTTAATGTAAATTATGGGAAAACTAACTAGGGTCACTGATTTTGAGAAACATAAAGACATGTAATAAAATGGTTATAAGGCAAGTACCCAAGTGAGAACAGAAAAAAGGTAAAAAAAATCCTTGAGAAGGATTATAAATGCAGGGAAAGGGAAGATATTTCGCTAGATTTATGGCCAAGGATAAAGTTGGTCATTATAAAGGCTGCTTCAAGGAAAAATAAATTTCCTATAAATGTGACAAGTTATTATAATTTCTCTATGGACTTCCTTGGTGGCTCAGTGGTAAAGAATCTCTCTGCCAATGCAGGAGACACAGGTTCAATCCCTGGGTTGGGAAGATCCCCTGGAACAGGAAATGGCAACCCACTGCAGTATTCTTGCCTGAAAAATCCCATGGACGGAGGAGCCTGGAGGGCTACAGTCCATGGGGTCACAAAGAGTTGGACATGCCTGAGCACGTATGTTATACATGACAGAACTCATAAAAATTGGTAACAGTAAGTTTGTAATAGTTAAATGAACAAACAACATAAATAGAAAATCTGCAAAGCAAAATTAACTAAAAACCAAATACAGAGAGACGTTAATGCAAGTCAGGACTGGATAGCATTTTTATCTCTAAAATTAGGGGGAAAAAGGAATCAATGCTGGTGGGCAAACTGGCAGTCTACCTCATCTACCATAGATGATATGGTAAATAGGTACTTTGGGAAGTTTGACAAATTTCTTAAGTGATAAAATATGATTATTCCAAAAGAGTTACATACATGATGATACTCATTTCACTGTCATTCTCCCAAAACAACAATTAAAACCTTAATGCAAACGCAAATGAATGTTCATTAACAGGGGCACGGCTAAGGAACTGTGATACATTGATAGGATGGAATATTATAAAGCATCAAAATGATAATTATGAAGACCACACCAAAACAGCAATATCATATGACAAAACATTAAATATAAAAAGATTAAGATACAAAATTGAGGGAATTGGGAATTCCCTGGCGGTCCAGTGGTTAACACCCCCTACTTCCACTACTAAAGACACAGGTTTCAATTTCTAGTCCGGAAACTGAGATTCCGCATGCCCTGGTGAAGCGACAAAAAACAAAAAGACTAAGAAAGAACAAAACTAAATCATGTTAACCCTGATAATACAGTGTTAATAAATTGTATCTTAGACTAGAAAGGAAAACCAACCTGATATTTACGCTAGTGTGGTGGACTGTAATTTTTCCTTCTATATTCCATACTGCTTCTACGATTGGAAAAAATATTTGATTTTTTCTAAAACACAGCTGCTCTTGAGAAACTGTTAGAAAATTAAATTCCACTTTTCTGTGAAAACAATTTCTTCATGGTCTTGAGCATTAAAAAAAACTAGCCAAACTAATAAAGGTACCAATCACTTAGGTTCCCCTTCTGAAGCAACAAAAATTCTGACTGTTAAATTCATAACAGCTCAGGACCCCAAAAGGCCTGTTGCTTGTTAGTCACTGCGGGGGAAAAGCAGAGTTGGAGCTCCGGAAGCTTCCTGCAAAGCTCAGCAGAAAGACCACAGACTGCAGTGTTCAACCAGCTGTCAATATGACAATTTTCACAAGTACTAATTCTGCTTTTTAAAAAAAGAAAATGAAAAGCTGCCACCCACAGTATATCGTCAGCTACCTCAAAAATTTCTAGAGACTTTTTAAATCCTCAAGGTTCAGAGGAAACTATGGTTGTTAATAGTTGAACTAGCTCAAGACTAAAATAGTAAGTGCTATGCCTCTATCTCGAAATCTCCCGAAAGCCTGAGACAATTGAGGGATACACAATCAAACTTGCCCATTAAAAAAAATAGAGAGTTAGATTTAGGGGGTCAAGGATTGAGGAAGACTTCCACATAGAATATATTGCTGCACAGAGATTTAATAAAAAAAAAAATTAACATACACAGAATATTCTGACTTACCATCTCGGCTGCCAGTCACAATTTCAGGGGCCCCTTCCCCGATTCCAAGTCCACCAACACCATCTATAGTATTTATAATTTCTTTATGGCCCTTTACAGAATACACCGGGACCTCTGGAGCTTCCAAATTCCTGAACAACAGAACATACCTTCTTACTTACACACATCCCAAATGTTTAGTTCACTACTCAAATCTAAGAATGCAGGCCATATTGAGATTTTTTATTTTTTTTTAAAAAAAGGGGTTTTCAATTAAGGTAATTTATACATTTACTTCCAAATTTTCCTCTATATTTTAGCTTCTTTCAAGGCCTCCGTGAGAGTTGTCATCATTCAACTTGGAATTCTAACTCCTGAACCCACTTTACTCAATGGTCCTCAAAGACGACTGATCCAGGACCTTTGCACATGAATCCACCAGGGATGTTTCTAAACAAATACAGATTCATAGGCTCCTCCCAGACATAGTGAACAAGTATCTCTAGGGTGGGGCCCCAAACCTGTTGACTCTCTAGTACATGGAGGCTGATAATACTGCTTTAAATACAGAGTAAATTCAAAGTGATTTAGAATGTTTCCAAAGTGGGCCTTGGTAGTTTGATCTTGAGATCTTTTGAGAGATAAAACATGAGCAGCATTTGCTTTGTATGCATTTCTCCCTTAATATTATTTTCTGAGTTCCACACTGATTTTCATCTAGTTACATTCTCAGTTTGCCGTCATGCGGACTACAATAGATACTACAGGCAAACTAGCTGAAGTCTCTAATTCTAGGCTAGTTAAGTGAAGGGAAGACTGGAAAGCACCTCCTCTCCTGTCTGTCTGAATCTACAACTGGGTGAGTGGCTCAAACAGGTTATGCTAATACACCCTTCACTTGTTTCTCTCCATTCCACACCCCTCCTTCTGCTTTTGTATTGGAGCCTCTATCCACATTTCTTTTCAGCAAGTCAGTTTTCAACAATACTTGTACTTTTTCTTTTTAATGAACTTAATTCTTCATGACATGTAATCTCAACTTACTACTAGGCCTAGATTTATCAGTAAAATCTTGCAAATAAAATTTGAGAAGTTCACCTGGTTCAGAGGTGATGTTTATCTTTGTGGCATTAATTGTGAAAGCGTCAAGAGACTAAAGAGGACTGAGGTTCTGTTTAAAAGAACTGGTTTACTCTTTTCATAGACTTTGAAACATCAGTTCTTTTAACTGATGACTCACCAGTGAAATTATGACTTACCAGTGAAAATAAAGCAGTAATACCTATACTAGGAAGCTCTGTTAGGAAGACATTCAACTGTTACATTTGTTGCACACTTTTGTGCTGAAATGCATCTATTTTAAAAAATAACACTCAGACTGGTCTCTCTCTCAAGTTCTTTGAAAGTATATGACACAGCAGGTAAAAATTAATGCATTCTGCATTCTAGTAAACGCCAACTTAATTGCACGTGTGTCAATCGCTCAGTTGTGTCCGACTCTTTGCAACCCTGTGGACTGTAGCCTGCCAGGCTCCTCTGTCCGTGGAATTTTCCAGGCAAGAAAACTGGAGGGGGTTGCCATCTCCTACTCTAGGGAATCTTCCTGACCCAGGGATCCAACCTGCATCTCTTGCATCTCCTGCATTGGCAGGCAGATTCTTTACCACTGCTCCACCTGGGAAGCCTGCTAATTATTAAGAAGTTAAAGCAAATGGAATTAAAATAGCTTCATTCTATGTTATATTATGATCCTAAGACAAATAAATATGCCAAAGTAATTCAGTTACAAAATAGCAGATTCTAAATTAGAATCAAAAAAGATCACAAGGTAGGGAAGACAGTTCCTCTAGAACATTACTGTATATTTTACATGATTAAGAGATAGTCTTAAAAAGTTTTTACAGAGGAATTTCAATTCATTCAACTCTAAATATGAGGAAATAACTCTAAGTAAAACATGAAAATTAAAAGCATTTGGTACTATTGAGATTTTGCTTATTCAAAACAGGTTTGTCTTGAGTTACTCAACAGATGTGTTCCTAAAAAGTTGTGCTCAGATATAAGCTAAAGCATAAAAAGAAAAAAGTTTAGTGAACTGGGAGTTCTATGTTAAAAAATTTAAAACATACAAAAATATATTATTGTGTAATGCCAAATATCTTCTTAAAATGTAAACATCTAATTTTTCAGTGTTATACATGAGCATTGTTATATACTGTATCCTTCATGGTGGAGGGAGTAGCCCTTTATTACAAATATAGGTGCTAAATGCTAGCACTGAACAGCATGTGTGGAAATAAATATTAATGTTATTTGAAAAAGCTAAAGAAAAATGTTAGTATTTTAAATTTGAAATGTGAAATCTAAAAATATATATTAAAAAGTAATTGCAATATTCTTATAAATAGTTAAAATTTAACAAAAAAATCTTAGAATTCTTTCAGTGGAAGCGTAACACAACTATCAAAGAAACTGCTTATGTCTTCACACTGATGAAATAATCTTACCATATATGAAGGTTTCCAGCAAAATCTCCAGTGGCAAGATATCTCTGCTGTAAAGATGTTGCACCAAATGTTCCACATTTAATGGGCTTGGCCTTTTCAATCTTGATAGAAGGGAGGGAGAGAGGATATGTTATTTAGGTAAGCACCTATTTGTAATCCATATTCATGGCTCTATTATGGGAATTAAATAAGGCACACAATTTAAAAAAGCAATTAAAATGTTTTCTGATAAAAAATTATCATGCTTTTCCTTCAGTAATTTTTGTATAGTCTAAAAGTACAGGCGGGCTTCCCTGGTGGCTTAGCTGATAAAGAATCTGCCTGCAATGCAGCCATGAAATTAAAAGCAGCTTGCTCCTTGGAAGAAAAGCTATGACCAACCTAGACAGCATATTAAAAAGCAGAGACATTACTTTGCCAACAAAGGTCAGTCTAGTCAAAGCTATGGTTTTTCCAGTAGTCATGTATGGATGTAAGGGTTGGACTATAAAGAAAGCTGAACGGCAAATTGATGCATGTGAACTGTGGTGGTGAAGAAGACTCTTGAGAGTCCCTTGGACTGCAAGGAGATCCAACCAGTCCATCCTAAAGGAGATCAGTCTTGAATATCCATTGGAAGGAATGATGTAGACGCTGAAGCTCCAGTACTCTGGCCACTTGATGTGAAGAACTGACTCATTGGAAAAGATCCTGATGCTGGGAAAGATTGAAGTCAGGAGGAGAAGGGGATGACAAGAGGATGAGATGGTTGGATGGCATCGCTGACTCTATGGACATGAGTTTGAGCAAGCTCCAGAAGTTGCTGATGGACAGGGAAGCCTGGCGTGCTGCAGTCCATGGGGTTGCAAAGAGTCAGACACAACTAAGTGACAGAACTGAACTGAACTGAAAAGTACAGGCAGACCTTGGGAGATTTGGCAAGTTTGGTTCTAGACCACCAAAATAAAGCAAACATTTGCAATAACTGAGTCAGATGAATTTTTGTTTCTCAGTGAATGTAAAAGTTATGTTTAAACTATCCTGTAGCCTATTAAGCATGCAAATCATTATGTCTAAAAGACAATGTACATACTTTAATTAAAAAATATATTATTGGCAAAAAATTGCTAACTGCTTTGATCATCCATGAAAAGAAACTCCTTATCCATTACTGTTTTCTCATGAGACCGGCAATTCAGCCACATCTTCAGGCTCCACTTCTAATTCTAGTTTTCTTGCTGTGTCCATCACAACTTCAGTTACTTCCTCCACTGAAGTCCTGAACCCCTCAGGTCATCCATGAGGTCTGGGTCAACTTCTTCCAAACTCCTATCCATGTTGATATTTTGACCTCCTTCCATGAATCACCAATGTTCTTAATGGCATCTAGAATGGTGAATCCTCTCCAGAAAGTTTTCAATTTACTTTGTCCAGATCCATCAGAGGAATCACTTTCTTTGGCAGCTGTAGCCTTAAGAAATGTATTTCTTAAATAACAAGACTTGAAAGTTGACATTACTCCTTGATCCATGGGCTGCAGAATGGATGCTGTGCTAGCAAGCATGAAATCAGTGTGAATCGTATGGGTTCATCTTCATCAGAGCTCTTGGGTGAGCAGGTATATTGTCAGTGAGCAGCAATATTTTGAAAGGCCTTTTCTTCCTGAGTAGTAGCTCTCAACAGTGGGCCTAAAATATTCAACAGTTTGTTGTAAAACAGATGTGCTGTTATCAAAGCTTTATTGTCCCATTTATAGAACTCAGCCAGAATACTTAGCATAACTCTTAAAGGAATCAGGATTTTCAGAATGGTCAGTGAGCACTGGTTTAAAATTAAAGTTACCAGCTGTATTACCCCTTAACAAGAAAGTCACCCTGTCCTTTGACTTGAGGCATTGGCTTCTTCTCCCTCACCATGCAGGTCCTAGATGGCATCTTCTTCCAATAGAAGGCTGTTTCATCTACACCAAAAATCTGTTGTTCAGTGGAGCCTCCTTCATGAATTATCTTAGTAGATCTTCTGCATAACTTGCTGCAGCTTCTGCAGCACCTGCTACAGCATCTTCTATCAGCACCTGCTGCTTCATCTTATACTTTTATGTTAAGGAGACAGCTTCTTTCCTTAAACCATATGAACCAACCTCTGCTAACTTCCAGCTTTTCTTCTGCTGCTCCCTCGCCTCTCTCAGCCTTCAAAGAACTGAAGAGTTAGGGCCTTTGCTCTGGACTAGACTAGGCTTTGTCTTAAGGCAATGTTGTGGCTGATTTATTCAGGCCACTAAAACTAAAACTCTATATCAGTAATAAAGCTGTTTCACTTATCATTCCTGTGTTCCCTGGAGTACAACTTTTCATTTCTTTCAAGAACTTTCACTTTGCATTCACACCTTGGCCACTATTTGACGCAAGATGCCTAACTTTTGGCCCATCTAGGCTTTCAACATGCCTTCCTCACTAAATGTAAACATTCTTGGTTTTTTATTTAAAGTGAGAGACCTGTGACTCTTCCTTAGAGGCCACTGTAGGGCTAATTTCAATATTGTTGTGTCTCAGGGAACAAGGAGAGGAAGAGGGTTGGAGGAAGGTCAGCAAGTGAAGCAGTCAGAACACAGACAACATTTACTGATTAAGTCTTCAGTTTTGTCAGGGTGTGGTTGATGGCATCCCAAAACAATCACATCATCATCATCAAAGGTCACTGATCAGAGGTCACCAAAACAAATATATTACAAGAATTACCAAAACATGATCCAGAGACACAAAGCAGGCAAGTGCTGGTGGAGAAACAGTGCTAACAGACGCGGTCAGCACAGGGTTACCCAAGTCCTTCAATCTGTCAAAGATTCAGTCTCTGCGAATTCAATAAAGAGAAGCACAGTAACAGGAGGTATGCTTGTATGTCAAATGAATGAGTTTTCCCTTTCTTCTCATCTCGCTAATAAGACATTAAAAAGGTGACACCTCTAATATCTCCACTGGTTTGCAAATGTGCAGATTTCAGCATTTAATGTGGTATTCTTCTTTAAAAGCCTCTAAAGAAAAAGGATATACTGAAGATATTACTCTTCCAGGTGACAACAGAAAAAAAAAAACCACTTATGTGTCTTGTATAGTTTCACCTGCAGAATCCTATAAACTGAGAATGGTTATGTCCGATTCTCTCTGAGACAGTTTCAGTGCAAAGAGATGTGTATACCTGTGTGCACCAAAGGCACAGCTGTTAGCATGGATTAGCATGGATTAGCTGTTAGCATGGATTAGCATGTTTTGATATTTCTTTAATTTAAAAGACTGTTGGGAATTCCATGGAAGTCCAATGATTAGGACTCCGAGCCTTCACTGCCAAAGCCCTGGGTTCAATCCCTGCTTGGGGAACTAAAATTCCATAGCCACTTGGCCAAATAAATAAACATAAATAAAAATAAGAGTATTGTTCTCAGTTTATATATAACAGTTGATCCCTGAACAGCACAGGAGTTAATCCACATGTAACTTACAGTCAGCTCTCTATATCCAAGATTCCTCTGCATCCGTGGATTCAACCAACGATGGACCATGTAGTAATGTAGTATTAACTCTTGAGAAAACACCCAGGTATAAGTGACCCATGCAGTTCAAACCCATGCTATACAAAGGTAATTGTAGTCACATCAGGAAAATAGCCATATGCAAACTCCACCTGCGCATGTCACTGAAGTCCATCTTGGAGTCTACATGTCCGGGTGTCTTGGCCCCTGGAAACTCTAGAGGACATGGAACTGAGGTTCTATGGGGTCACAAACAGTTGGATACAACTGAGTGTCTGAGTGCACACACATATATACACACATCCACATATCGCACTCTAGCTGCAGGATAGCACCTTCCATCTACTGTCAGCTCAACAGGACAAAACTATTTCTCTCATTCAGTCTCTTGCAATCTTTAACTTTTTTCTTTTTTGAATTTTTCACTGCAGTTGATTTACCATGTTATGTTTACTTGTTCATTTTTAATTTTTGGCCATACCCTGCAGCATGTGGTATCCCAGTTCCCAGACCAGGGATCAAACCCGCACCCGCCGCATTGGAAGGCAGAGTCTTAACCATGTGACTGCCAAGGAAGTTCCCTTTTTTCTTTTTCCTTTTATTTTTAACAAAAATAGTACATGTTCCCTATAAAGATGCAAACAAAACCAAAGACCTGAAGGGTGAAAAGTAAGTTTCCCTTCGACACGTCCCAGAAGTAACCCCCATTGTCTTAGACCCTTTGCGACCTACTTACAACTGCATAGAGATTTAGTTTAACACAGAGAGCATCGTAATAGCAATATATGGTCCATTGACTTGGTTTTTTTCACTTAGAGATGTATCTGGATGAATTTCTTTCCCTCTACAGAGTTCCCCAGTTTCTAGGGCACTTCCCCTGTAATCTTTTGAGTTGCTGGGCCAATCTTCAACCCTACCACTAGGGTTGGCCTATTTCATGTACTTTGTGAAAGCAATTTTCCTACCACTTTCAATGTTTGGTTGGGGATTTCCACATAGGATACATGCAGCTATTTTCAAATAAGAAAATAAAATTCACGTAACACAAACTATAACTGAACTTCTCTTTCATGATTCAAAAGAAATCATCATATGCTCCGGGGCTTTGGAAACTCCCAGCCTGCTGAGCTTTCTGCCTGGGATCTGGATAAACTAGCAGTTACTAGGTAGCCTGGCCTAAAATAAAGCTGGGACTCTTTGGAACTCTCCAGGACCTTTTGATTAAATTTTGTTTACTCAGACACCCGCAATAACATGGTGGTAAAAGACTGTACTGATGAGACTAGAACACAGAATGTTAATTTTTTCTCCTTTTTAACACACTGGTGCTCTGAGATAGCATCAGTTAATATTTGATATCAGAAAACTGATATTCATCTATTTCAGCTATTTTTTCCAATTTTATGGAACACGTATCTTACAGTGGGACACCATGGAGGATCACAATTTTGTCAATTTAATAAAGCAGTTTCCAATTCCAAATCATTTACATCCTCCCCACCATCCCCTTCTCCCAATAAAATACCTGAAACAATATGTTAATACTGACATAGCTAATCACTCAATTAACTAATCATTGTAGCGAATCACTTAATC